AAAATCTTCAAAAAAAAAAAAAAAAAAAAGAAAGCTCTAGGACAACCTTAGCATTCTTACTAAACCACAGGGCAACAGTGACAGACAAGGGGGGGAATGCCCATGAGAAGCTACAACCAGACACCAAGCAAGAGAGGCAGCCGGTGTCGTCAGGAGGAGATGAGAAACCTGAAAACTCCGAAAACCAGAGGCCCGTGACTTGGGCCTGCTGTAGCCTGCAGCCCTGCGGGGGGCCGTCAGAGACAAGAACAACACAACGTTCTTTAGCTGAGGAAAAGGACAATGACAAAGGGAATGAGACCCAGCGCTGGCATATAAATAGGTATAAACTGAGGTGAAATGCAAATGATTTTTTAAATTAGGGTAAAATTTTTCAGAAAAAAAGGAATAAGATTTGCAAAAGGATGAAAGTACCTGAAGCGTTGCAGAACTGGTCAGTGCTATTGTAGACCCTACAGCAAGACGATTGCGGCTTAACCCAATCAAAATAATCGTCAAGCCAGGAGGAGGGCACGAAGCCTATTCGCGTACTAGAGCAAAGGAGAAACCAGTTAGCGACTGCTCCACAGGGACCAAGTCTTTAGTTTCAGTCCTTTTTCTTGAAACCTAACTTCCTTTTCTAGATTTATCCTGCTCCCCAGTCAAAAGACAGACCTCACTAGCACTTAATGGAAAACCTTCAAAGTAGGACACGGTACATGAGTCCTTTCAAAGGTTTTGCTCAGGTAAAACTAGATTTAGCACTATTTTGAAAAACAAATTTTCCAAGAAAATCCATTTTCAGTGAGACATTTCAGGCCCCAGCTGACCGAGAGCCCGCCTGGCTGCTTCTGCCACGGCAAAGCAAGCCCGGGTGGTACTGACTAGTTGTCCAGCTGAGCCGCGCTGAATATCTGCTGCACCAGGGAGTCGCTGTCGCAGCCCATGCCCCCGCACACCATGTTCTGCCCTTTCAGAGACGTGTAGTTGTGCCCTTCCTCCAGGACAAAGTACACCGGTGGACCCGCATGCAGGTACTGACTGATGGACTTGAAATAATCGATCACGTAGGAGTCCTGAAAGAAAGATCAAAGAGCAGCCAAGTATGAACGTTCTGCCGTGTATCAGCAAGGTGATGATACTAAGAATTAAGAGGGCACTGGGAAGCTCCTGGCCGAGACACCCCCAGCCCAGATTTGTGATTCCCGACACAGCCACTTCCCCCTCCCCCACCCTCCCTGGGCCCAGGCTGGTCCCATCATTAGGAGGGCACCTCACAAGGTAGGAGACTGGCTGTGCCCCAGAGGGCTGTCTCAGAGTTCAGAATGCTAAGATGGCCCACACTGGCAGAGCTTTGTGGCAGTTCTTATAACATGGGAGAACCTGCCAGCACTTGCATTTAGAAGCAGGCACTAGGGCCGGCCCCGTGGCTTAGCGGTTAAGTGCGCACACTCCGCTACTGGCGGCCCGGGTTAGGATCCCAGGCGCGCACCAATGCACCACTTCTCCGGCCATGCTGAGGCAGCGTCCCACATACAGCAACTAGAAGGATGTGCAACTATGACATACAACTATCTACTAGGGCTTTGGGGGAAAAAAAGGAGGAGGATTGGCAATAGATGTTAGCTCAGAGCCGGTCTTCCTCAGCAAAAAAAAAGAAGAGGATTAGCATGGATGTTAGCTCAGGGCTGATTTTCCTCCCCCCAAAAAAAGAAGCAGGCACTAGCTTGAAATATCCACATGTCTGTTTTGAAAAATTCATTCACCATTGGCTAAATAAGTTAAAATAAAAAAGGAGGCATCTTACGTCTGGCATTGAAAGAAACTGATCCAATCCAATTTCCACTTTGTTCAGGACTGCAATACTGAATGACAGAACACCCACAAATACTGCTATCTGGAATGAAAAGTGAGTTATAAGACAGTGATTGCTTAGTGTTATGAGCTTAAGAACATAAATAAAGTCTTAAACACAAAAAACAGGACTTTTCTAAACTGAAGAGCAAGTTTAAATGACATGCTGAGAAAACAGGGAGCACAGGGTGACTGAAATCACAGGATCTAGAGTCCAACTACCTGGGTTCAAATCCTGGCTCTACTACTTACGAGCTGAGTGACCCTGGGGAAGTCACTTAACCTCTCCTACCTTCTATTTCCTTGTCAGTAAAACAGGAAAAATAAAAGACTTATAAGATAGTTTTGTGGATTAAATGAGAAAAGCTAGGGGTAATCCAGATTTTCGCACAATACTTAATATTTAGCACAATACCCAATGTGTTCAATAAATATTAGGTATTACTTTTACTATTATTGGAAACTAATTGAAGTTCTTTTAGCAGAGAAGTGATAGATTATAACTGTTGGCTACATCCAGTATACAAACTACAGAAAGCTCTTGCTCGGTTGCTGGGGACTAGGCGAGTGGGGGGTGTGGGGGAGGGAGGTGGGTGACACTGTAACCAGGGAGACTGTTGTGGTAAAGGAACAGTTCTATATCTTGATTGCAGTGGTGGTTACACAAATCTGCACATGTGATGAAATGACACAGAACTAGACATAGTGCCAATGTCAAATTCCTGGTCTTGGTATTGAACTGTAATTGTGTAAGACCATAGGAGGGAACTAGGGGAAGGGTATGCAGGTCCTCTCTGTACTACCTTTGCAACTGTCTATGAATCTATAATTATGTCAAAATAAAAACTTACAACAAAAACTGCTTATGTTGACTGCTAAAAACTAGCTAGAAAAATATTTGATATATTTGCATGTATCTGCTTTTGCATTTTTGCATATATACTTAACAGCTGTCAGAATCTCCTTCTCAAGCGGTCTAGTTTCTTAGAAGTGATGTGACAAATCTGTTTTGGGGAGAAAAACAAGAACCACCACAGATAAGCTCATACCACAATTGGTCGCATCCAGTCCTTAAGCAGAAGTGGAGAATAGGAGTTTTTGAAGAACCAAAACAAGCAGCTTTCAGAGGCCTGGACGCCGGTTCCATCTTCAGAGCCTCTGACACAGCAAAGGATGTCCAGCCGGTTTCTCTGAAGGGATAAAGAGGAACAAAGGTCACATCCTCCAGCTGCTTCATCTAGATTCTAGACCCAAATTAAATAGATTGTAATCCTGATAACAACTCACCTCTTGACGCTTAATGTCTAGCCCCAAGAGACTCACAAAACAGGTAATCTGAAGAAGGAAGTCAATGAAGACTGCCAGTCCCGCAAACAGAGAGAAAGTGTGCACGGCTGGCATCACTGACAATGCTCCTGCAGGGACAGAAAAGCTGCCACGTCACTTCTACTCACAGCAGAAGACTACGAGAGTCTTACACTCCTGTGTACATATGAACACAAGGAGCCAGAACAGGCCAAACTCATGAGAAGACCCTCACCACCCCCCCACAAAGGTATGCTGCAAAAGTCCGTGGACGCCACGCTAGATGTGGAAAAGAATCTGTAAGCCCAGCGTTTTGCAAAATGGTGTCAACACCAGAACCACTTGGGGAGTCACAAATGTAGGTTCCTGAGCCCCGCCCCATTCTGAGTAATCAAAACAAGGGGCATTCAATCTCGATTCTACTGCATTTAATAGGCTCTCCAGGCAAGTCTGTGCACATTTAACTTAGAGAATCATTAATACAGGCCATTTCTTACAGTACCTCCTATGCTTCATCTAAGAGAGGGACAGTATTTTCCATCTGCTATTTTGTCAACAATATTCGTCTTCCAGTTTAGTTATACTCAAGTGAGGATGCTCTGAGTCAGAAGCACTAGGTTAAGACTCAGAAACTGCCAATTGGCAGCCCACAGGCCAGATATGTCCTGTTTGGCCCACACTGTATCAATCCATTTCAGGATTAAAAAACATTTTTAAAATAAGTAGTCAATATTTAACAATGAGATCACACACAAAATCTAGATTCACAGCTTTGACTGAAAAAATAAAAGATCGGATCTAACAGCACTTGGCCACCAACACATAAGTGCCTCTTTTACACCTGCGCACTCCAGGTGCCACAATCCCCACTGCTCCTACTGTCTCCCCAGAGTCACTCCAACCTCGAGGCACTGTGTCAGCTGCTATTATCATCGCGGTTGTGGTGGTTTTCTTAAAAGAGAGGTAAAAAGAGGAAATAACTTTTTTTGTACTTGTATTCACCAAAAGGAAGTAAAAGGGCCACAGGTTTCAAAGCACATCACTTTGTGGAAAGGAAGAATAATATGCTAACAGCATCTGTGTTGAAAGACCGCCACCTTCGATGATCCTACAATGGCCCTGTGTAAGATAATCTGGTGGCCCATGTAGGCATTTCCATCTGTGACTCGTGGATTGTATGTCTTCTCTAGACTCCCTGAGTGATTCTAATTCAGACTCCTCTTCAGAGGATGTATTCAGTTTTCTCCTACTACTTTTACTACACCCCAGAGATGGGGGCAGATAGCCCCGCTAGTAAGGCTAGTCAGTGATTTCTTCAGTCAAAAGAAATGTAAAAGTGCTGGTTTTTGTCCCAGCTTATTCTGGCTCCTCGTATTGAGGTAAGAGTCAAGAACCTCTGCTCATTAACGAGGCTGCTTCCCCAATAAGTGGTGTGTACAGACGAGGAATACTGCCTATGAGAACAACGGCAAATGTCTTACCAGCTAATGCCTATGAACTTTGCTTGGAATGTTGCTACTTAGAGCATTGCGTTGAGAAGGATTCTGTGACTATGGAAAAATGCCATTTTCACATATCAACATTTGCCATGGGTGCCAAAAAGGGAAGTGGCAGAGGAGTTCTAGGTAAGTGTCATCCTGGACCCCAACATCAACACTGTCTTGAAACAACGTGAGAAAGAAGACACTTGCAAAATGATACCCAAGATACTGCCACCAGTTTTTCTGAATCTTTCCAATTATGGAATAAAGCTTAAACCAGGAAGCAACACAAAGGGGCATATTCAGATCTCTACCTTCTTCTATTCCCAGGCTCAGCTAATTGTAGGACTGGAAGAATTCAAACAGTAATTACCTAAGAAAAATGCAAGAGTCTCTGAAAAGGACGACAGGAACATACTAGGAGCCACTTCTCCTAGGACCCTGCCCAGCTGCTGATCCAGGGTTTCTCCCTGAAGACGTTCATCTCTCTTAAAAAAACAACAAAAAAATATGCAACATTAAAATTTCTAAATAACAATGCCACCTCTTTGCTTCTTTGCTGCCTTGTGTGAACTCGATGGTAAAGAATAACGATTAGTAGCTTCTACTTATTGTATAAAAACTTTGGTGGAGGACCTACAACTTCTCATGTGAATTCATTCAGGGCATTACTGAACCCCTGCGCTAGGTAAGAGGTGAGAAGCTCAAGGAAAGACTAGATCATGTTATCAGGAAAATACAGAGAAGACATGCTATAGACAGCTGGACCATTAAATGACACTCTTACATGCCACTGAGTCTCCACACAGGAAAGGCAACAGGACAAGGGGACTGCATGAGAACCAATTGACTGAGATCATTTTCTACATCAGCGGGTGCCATGTTGACCTTCTGTCTTTTTAGTGGCACCTCTGACAAATCTTTCATTCTACACTACATGGAGAAATATTGTAACAGCACTCGTACCCAAAATATTTTCCACAAGCATGTTAGCCCTATTTGCAAACATATTTAAAACCAAATTCTCATTTTATATCTATTCCACCAACCAAAGAGAGGGGTGAACTTCTTGGTCTCAAAATGTCCAGAACAAGTTACAGGCACCAATGAGCAACCCAGAGGAAAGGAAACAAGGCCTCCTCATTATCCATACTCACAAATACCCTGCATGGGGCCAGACAGCCATTAATGGGGCCCAGCGCTTGGTCAGACGCCAAGCTCTGTGAGACGATGAACATCTACCTGGTAGGTCTGGACCAGAATGAAGATGTTGTCCACCCCAACAGCCAGCACCAGGAATGGGATGACCTCGATCACAATGAGGGTGACAGGGATCCCAATGTAGCTGAAGATGCCCAATGAGCACGCCACGGAGCTCAAAACAATGAGGATACCTGCGATGCCAAGGGAGATTTTAGAATCCACCTGAGAGATGAAACAGAGACACAAATAGTCAGAGAACTCTTTATCCTGCTACTAAAAGGTCCTCATTTTTACCTCTTTACTGGGTATAGCTAATCTGGAATTAAAAGTACAATTCCCAGTTTGAGAGAAGATATAAAAAAATCTTCTAGGTCTTCCCTAGCAACATATTTTTATAAGCTTCCATTCTTAGGTGATGGAGTGGACATTATTAGAAAAAACTGGATTATGTGAAATAAATTCTAGGTTTAAGATAAACCTAAAAAATTGGAACTGAAGAAAACCGATGCAGGAAATAGAAAAAGTTACATACAATTAAAACATGGGAGAATTTAAGGCAGTTTTGAACATAATTAATTATGATTAAGTAGAGGCAAAAAGATGACATAACGCTGTGCACTGCCATTTCTAACACACAGACACACGAGAAACACACACACACCACTTACTAGAAGCCTGCTACAGCTTTTGATGTGTCCCAAGGCTATGGAAATATACAGAAACATGATGCCATAGCTGATCACAACAGTGAAGACATCACTGTAACTTTCACGATTCAGTTCATCTTCAATACTTTGTTCAGCAATGAAAGAAATGGTCAGATTTGGATTCTTGTAGTTTTTCACAAAATTAATAAACCTAAAGAGTAAGCAAATTTTATATTTTTAGTTAAAACTTAGTGAAAGCTAAGTAACTTCTTCCCAACTTCTGACACAAAAGCCACGCTGACCTCACCTTTACCTGCATTAGGATCTTCTCTGCTGGAGACTAGAAGGCGAGACACCCCCGGATTACAAAGTGCCAGAAATGCTGAATTTTCTACCATTTAAAACAGGTTTAGAACAAGTTTAAAAGGTGGTTCATGTTCTCCTTATTTCTTTTTACTAAAAAATATATATATTTTTAAGATTTTATTTATTTTTTCCCCCCAAAGCCACAGTAGATAGTTGTATGTCACAGCCGCACATCCCTCCAGTTGCTGTATGTGGGACGCGGCCTCAGCATGGCCAGAGAAGCGGTGCGTTGGTGCGCGCCTGGGATCCAAACCCGGGCCGCCAGCAGAGGAGTGCGTGCACTCAACCGCCAAGCCACGGGGCCGGCCCTAAATCTAAATAAAGTATATTAAAGATCTACACTCATGTAACAAAATTTTAAGCTGATCTAGAGATTCAATGTAATCCCTATCAGAATCCCAGCTGACTTCCTTGTAGAAAGATAAGCTGATTCTAAAATTCATATGGAATTGCAAGGGGCCCAGAACAGCCCCTTCTCATTCAAGAAGAACAAAGTAGAACTCACACTTCCCGACTTCAAACCTTCTTTCTATAAAACAACAGTAATCAAGACAGTGTGGTACTGGCACAAGGATGGACACACAGATCAAAGGAACATAACTAAGAGTCCAGAAATAAACCATGTATCTGTAGTCACCTAATTTTCAACAAGGGTGGCAAGACTATCCAATGAGGGAAAGAATAATCTTTTCAATAAATGGTCTAGGACAACTGGACAGCCACATGCAAAAGAAGGAACTCAAATGGATCAAAGACCTAAATGTGACAGCTAAAGCTATAAAGCTCTCAGACGGACACATGGGTGTAAATCTCCATGTCCTTGGATTAGGCAATGGTTTCTTAGATAGGATACCAAAAGTATGAGCAACAGAAGAAAAAATAGATAAACTGGACTTCATCAAAATTAAAAACTTTTGTGCTTCAGTGAACACCATCAAGAAAGCAAAGCAAAAACAAACCAAAGAATGGGAGCAAATACTTGGAAATCATGTATCTGATAAGGGACTTGTAGAATACATAAGAATTCCTATAATTTAATAATAAAAATACAAATAACCCAGTTAAAAATGGGCAAAGGCAACATCATACTCAATGGGGAAAAACTGAAAGCCATCCCTCTGAAAACAGGGACAAGACAAGGGTGCCCACTCTCACCACTCTTATTCAACACAGTACTGGAGGTTCTGGCCAGAGCAATTAGGCAAGAAAAAGGAATAAAAGGAATCCAAATAGGCAACGAAGAAGTGAAACTCTCGCTGTTTGCAGATGACATGATCTTATATATAGAAAATCCTAAAGAATCCATTGGAAAACTATTAGAAATAATCAACAACTACAGCCAAGTGGCAGGGTACAAAATCAACTTACAGAAATCAGTTGCATTTCTATATACCAACAACGAACTAACAGAAAGAGAACTCAAGAAGACAATCCCATTTACAATTGCAACAAAAAGAATAAAATATCTAGGAGTAAATTTAACCAAGGAAGTGAAAGACCTATACAATGAAAACTATAAGACATTATTGAGCGAAATCAATGATGACATAAAGAAATGGAAAAAGATTCCACGCACTTGGATTGGAAGAGTAAACATAGTTAAAATGTCCATACTACCTAAAGCAATCTACAGATTCAAGGCAATCCCAATCAGAATCCCAAGGACATTCTTGACAGAAACAAAACAAAGAATACTAGCATTCATATGGGGCAACAAAAGACCCCGTATAGCTAAAGCAATCCTGAAAAAGAAGAACAAGACTAGAGGCATCACCATCCCTGACTTCAAAACATACTACAAAGCGATAGTAATTAAAACAGCATGGTACTGGTACAAAAACAGACACACATCAATGGAACAGAATCGAAAGTCCAGAAATAAAACCTCATATCTGTGGGCAGCTAATCTTTGACAAAGGAGCTAGGACACACAGTGGAGAAAGGAAAGTCTCTTCAATAAATGGTGCTGGGAAAACTGGACAGCCACTTGCAAAAGAATGAAAGTAGACCACCTTCTTTCACCATACACAAAAATTAACTCAAAATGGATCAAAGACCTGAAGGTGAGCCCTGAAACTATAAAACTCCTGGAGGAAAATATAGGTAGTACACTACTTGCCATCAGTCATAAAGGAATCTTCTTGAATTTCATGTCTACTCAGACAAGGGAAAAAAAGAAAAAATAAACAAGTGGGACTTCAGCAGATTAAAGAGCTTCTACAAGGCAAATGAAACCAGGATCAAAATGAATAGGGAACCCACCAGCTGGGAAAAAATATTTGCAAACCGTATATCTGACAAGGGATTAATCTCCATAATATATAAAGAACTCACACAACTGAATAACAAAAAAACAAACAACCCAATCAAAAAGTGGGCAGAGGAAATGAACAGACACTTCTCTAAAGACGATATACAGTTGGCCAATAGGCGCATGAAAAGATGCTCAACATCACTAGTCATCAAGGAAATGCAAATCAAAACCACACTAAGATATCACCTTACATCCGTCAGAATGGCTATAATCACCAAGACAAAAAGCAACAAATGCTGGAGAGGCTGAGGAAAAATGGGAACCTTAATCCACTGCCGGTAGGAATGCAAACTTGGTGCAGCCTTCGTGGAAAACAGTATGGAGATTCCTCAAAAATTTAAAAATAGAAATGCCTTATGATCCAGCTATCCCACTACTGGGCATCTACCCAACAAATGTGAAATAAACAATCCAAACAGGCTTATGCACCCCTATGTTCATCGCAGCATTATTCAGTATCGCCAAGACACGGAAGCAACACAAGTATCCCTCGAGTGATGAATGGATAAAGAAGATGTGGTATATATATACCATGGAATACTACTCAGCCATAAAGAAAGACAAAATCGTCCCATTTGCAACAACGTGGATGGATCTGGAGGGTATTATGTTAAGTGAAATAAGCCAGAAAGAAAAAGACAAACACGACATGATTTCACTCATATGTGGAAGATAAACCAACACACGCACAGATAGAACTGTTTGGTCGTTACCAGGGGCTAGGCGGGTGAGGAGTGGGCACAAGCGGTGGAGGGATGCACTTATATGGGGACTGATAAACAAAAAAATTTCACAATTAAAAAAAATAAAGAGAGGAAGAAAAAAGAAAAAAAGGAAAGGTAGAATAGGTTTTAGAAAAACAACTATAAGGGTCTGTAACCTGTAACAGTATGTTAAACTTAAGGCTTTTTTGGCACCCAATGCCTTTGAGAGGAAAGAAAACTGTAGTTGGATTAGTCAGTGATTATTAACAGTTGGCGATTTATTACTCCCTTAACAAATATTTATTTACAAAAAAATGGGCAAAGAATAGGAATAGACATTTCTCCAAGGAAGTGACAGAAAGACCAATAAGCACATGAAAGACACTGGAAATCATTAGTCATCGGGAAATGCAAATCAAAATCACAATGAGACACCACTTCCCACCAACTAGGACAGCTAGAATCAAAAAGTCAGATAACAACCAGTGCTGGAGAGGATGTGGAGAAATCAGAACCTTCATACTCTGCTTGTGGGAATGTAAAATGGTGCAGTCACTTTAGAAAACAGTCTGGCAGTTACCAGTCACAAGAGTTAACAGTCAAAGAGTTACCATATGACCCCGCAATTCTACTCCTAGGTGTCTATCCAAGAGAAAAGAAAACATAAGTTCACACAAAACTGGTATACGAATGTCTATAGCAGCATTATTCATAATAGCCAAAAGGTAGAAAACAACCCATATGCGCATCAATTGATGAATGGATAAACAAAATGTGGTATATTCAAAGGATGGAGCATTACTCAGCCATAAAAAGAAATGAAGTACTGCTACACGCCACAACTTGGATGAACCTTGAAAACACTATGCTGAGCGAAAGAAGCGAGACACAGGAAGTCCACACATATGATTCCACTCATATAAAAATCCAGGACAGGAAAATATAAGGAGAGAGAAAGTAAATTAGTGGTTGCATAGGGCTGGGAGGTGGGAAGACAAAAGGAGACAGGTTGACAGCTAAAGGAGATGGAGTTTCTTCCTGAGGTAAAGAAAACGCTTTATAATTGGCTGTGGTGATGGTTGCACGTATCTGTGAATATACTAAAAGCTACTGAATTGTACACTTTAAATGGGTGAAACGTATCATATATGAATTATATCGCAACAAAGCTGTTTAAACAAAAAAAGGACTGAAGGGTATAAAGTAAACAGTCGAAGTCCCCTGCCCTCCTCAGTCCTCTCTTCCCTTTCTCTAGAGGTTACAGTTAACAATTTCTTGAGTCATTTGCTTGGTATTTTTTCTAGGCATGGACAGCACCTATAGCATATATTTACCTAAACATGCTGATTGCAGTTTTTATTTAATACATCTTGAACCACTTATGGGCCTATCTTTAATGACTGCATAATTTTCTACTGTACCTATCACTTACTAAAGTACATTCAGGTTGCTCCCAGTTTTTGCTGTTAGAAAATGATGCAAGGAACATTTCTGCTTAAATACGTTTGCATTCTTGTGCAGGGATATCTGTTTAAACAATGTTTACAGGTAAATTTATTTACAGATTCTTTTCTTAGCATCACTAGTACCAAGTGAAAACCATGACATAACTTAGATCCGACGCTGGTTAATTTGGCTGAATGACATTGAAGTGCTGTCTGTTAGCACCCAGCTTCCCACAACGCAGGGACAGGTTGTTTAGATCCCGTGAGCAACTCACTCTCTTTCCCAGGCCTGGGTCCTCCGGAGCTTCTCTGTTTCGTTATAGTAATTATTGACAGGAAAGGTAATCACAAGGGCTGTGGCATTATTGTAGTTTTGATCTAGAAAGGAAAAATGTGATGTCAAAAAGATTACAAGGGTGCAGAAAATTAGATCAATAACAGGGAAAATCATTGGAGAGCTAGGTGACTGATTTCCCACTGGGGCTCTAAACTTACATCCCTGTTCTCTAAGAACAAAAATGGGGTTCACTGAAATAGCATCCATGCAGTTCAGTTAATGAATAAAACATTCTCTATCTGAGGTAGGCACAATTTTCATTCAGGAACAGTAGCTTTTCTTTTAACTACATAGCACGTGTACAGTAAAAATTCCAAACAGAGCAGAAAGGTGTTGAGCGAAGCCTCTCCCCTCGCTCAGTCCCGTTCCCTCCTCTTGGTTCTCCTCCCCACGCTGTGACTGCCTGTGACGCTTCCTAGAGCTACTTGACGCACGCGCGCGCAAACACATCATGTTCTTCCCCTTTCCTTCTTTTTTACACAGATAGTAATATACTATTCTGCACATTTTCTTCTTAAATTTGTATCTTGAGAATGCTCCGTTTTAGTACAGAAAGAGCTTCCTTATTCTTTTCTCTACTATATTATATTTTCTAGTATAATTTAATCCATCTCCAACTGATGGATATTTTTGCACTTTTTTTTGTTATTTTTAATGTGTAAAATACATTATTTGTAGATTCGGTTCTAGTACAATCACTGAATCAAAACCATATGTGCATTTTTAATTTTGATAGATTCTCCCAAACTGCTCTCCAAGGAGGCTATCCTATTTTTCATTCCTTTACTCAACCAAGTATTTACTGAGACCCACTCTGTGACAGGCATTATTTAGGTGCTGTGAACACATCAGTGAACAAGAGAGAAAAACCCCTGCAGCCCTGGAGCTTACATTCCAGCAACCAATCGACACCTCCCCCAACAGCGCAGTTCCCCGTACTCTCACCCACAGGGTTTCATCGAACTCCTAGATCTCTGCCAACCTGTGAGGCAGAAAGGGTTGAGCATTTTCCCCGCATAACTACAAGCCATTTGTAGTTCTTCTTTTGTTAATTTGCATATATAGCTTTGCCCACTTTTCTTCTGGGTTGTTGACCTTTTCTTTTTTCCATAAGAGCTCTTTATCCTTAAGGAAATGCTGTCTGTTATATATACTACTTTTTTCCTCCAGCTTTTTGTTTTTTTTTTTAAACTTTATGATGTTTGTTCTCCACACAGGAATTTAAAATTCTTATGTAGTCAAATTCATCAGTATTTCCTTTTGTGACTCCTGCGTTTTGTGTCTTGCTTAGAAATGCCTTCTCCATTTTAAAATTATTTTAAAAAATTCCTCCTGTATTTTCTCCCAGTTCTTTAATAGTTTTACTTCTCAAATTTCAAATCTTTGTTCTGTCTGGAGTTTATTTTGGCAGAAGGAAGAAGGTAGAGATCAAGCTTAATTTTGATGGCTGTGACTAGTCAGTTGGTGACACAACCTTTTCCCCAACAAGCAGAAATGGTGTTTTATTATAAGAGGTACAGTAAAATTTAAATACAGACCAAACTCCTCCCCTCCCACTGGGTGAGGAGCATATCTATTTGGCCTCTTCATTGAGCTGGAGTAAAAACCAGTTGAGCTGCCTATAATTAGGCTTCAGATGCCAAAGTTGTCACATGAATCATTGCCCCATAGTAGCTGCTACACTGTTCCAAGGTGCTACAGGAACCAGCAAAGAGCAAACCAGCTGCTCCTCCCAGTAGAAAAGTGTCTGAATTCTTAATCAACTGGTTTAGAAGGAAAAAAATCCATCAACTTTCTTTTTCCCCATATCTCACCTATTATCTCTTTCCCATTACAGATACTCTTAACCTGAGGTCCACAGACTCCCTAGGGGTTCTACAGATGAGCTTCAAGGATTCCATGAACTCCCTGAAACTGAACAACACATAATGTGCATGTGCACCACTGCATTATTCTGGGGAAATGTCCTTAGCTTTCGACAGCTTCCCAAAGTGTGACGTAAAAAAGGCTAACACCATCCACTTCTTTTAAGTCCAGAACAAAACCCAAAGCCAAAGGAGAATTATTATATTTGGGATTTAAGAGAAAGAGAATTAATAAGACTGTTCAATTTATGAAATCTTCATAATTACCACTTGACTGTTAACAACAGAGCCAAAACTATTTTATCTAGCAGGAAAAATGAACGCTTCTCTTACTTACCATCATAGCCTCCTAACACGAGCCACGGGAACACTGGTCCACCAAACGTACCCAGACAAGGATCATGGAGCAAACTTGTATCATTCAGAGAGGCAGGAGCCCTGCCAAGAAATTTAGAAAACACCTCCGGATTAGAACAAACCTCAAGACATCACAGAGACTTAAACATTTTACAACAAACGGTTAATGAGGCTGATTATATTCTAAGCACAGTGTGGGCCCTGAGGTTCTTTGGGTGAGTAACACAGTTCAGCACTTGCCTTTGGGAGCTCAGAATCACTGAGTATCTCACGTGCACGGTGCACAGAAGAGGGAACAATTAATACATTGGGAAAACTGTTGCCAAAAAGAGGAGACCTGTACAGAACCAGGTCTCTAGGCCGAGGGAGAATTCCCCAGGGAGGGTGAAATGAAGGTGTTCCATGGGACTCCAACTGGGGGGAAGATAAAAGGCAGAGAACAGGTACTTGAGAGAGGAGAGAGCAAGAGGATGGCGGCTTAAGGAACGACGACGACAAGAAGTCCTGCATGGGGTACCCATGAAGGGGAGAACTTCTGAGAGAGGGGATGGGGCTGGAACAGGCGAGGGACAGTGAACAAAAGGATTCAGTGCTATGCTGAGCAGTTTGGATCTCTACCCTGTAGACACGGAGGAACAATCAGAGATGTGGGGGAAAGGGGTCACGAGCTGTTTTACAAAGATACCTCAGGTGGCAAAGTGGAAGGAGGTGTGCAAGTGGGAGAGGAAGGGAGGCAGGGAGACCAGTCAGGAGGTTCATGCAATGGCCCACGCAAGGGACCACCGGTAGTGCAGTGAAGACAGACAGACAACCAGTGGAGAGGGAACCAGCATTTCAGGACAGATCATAAGCCAGAACTCGGCTGGGCACTTAACGCAGGTTCTCACGATAAACCGAACCACCACCCTTCAGAGCCAATGGCTGATGGTTTCAGGCCCTGGAGGTCACCTGCTCCAGTCAAACAGGCTGCAGGGCTGCAGCCAGAAGCCAAGGCCGTTATCCCACACAAACGGGGCTCTGCCGCCACATCATGGATTTGAGAGCTTACCCAGAGGTCATAATCCACAAGAACTACGTGAGGAAGGTGAGGATGAGGAAGAATTCAGGGATACAGCCTCAAGTTTGAGTGACTGGTAGACACTGATGCCATTACATGATGCAGGGGGTTATGGGGAAAGAAGCAGGTCTGTGTTTGGTTCTGGACGCGCTGGGTCTGCCATTCCTGCAGGACCTCCAGGGGAAAAAGCTCAGGAAAAGCTGGAGGGTGAGGAGGGAGGTGAGAGCTGGAGACACACAGTGTAACCACACACCAAACACAGATCTCTGCCGCGCAGCAGAGAAGCTACTTACAGCAGTGTTTGCGCAACTATTTGGACCTCGTTCCCCTTGGATAAAACACAAGTCGCATGCATCTCCCCCACTGCCAAAATTCTGACTTTTGTAAAACAACAGAAAGTAAATATTTTTCTTTAAATGTATATACATCCATCATATAATATTAAATTTTCTTTGCAAATTGCCCGTGGCTTCCCTGTACCACCTACCCTGTGGAGAACACTGGTTTAGGGTATATGGTCACACACGTAATGTCTTATGGGTAGAGCTCAAGTCTTTAGAGGTGACCTCCTTGAACTAGAGTAAACACAGTCCAACCATCTAAAGAGTCACATTCCAGTGACAAAAACAGACAGAACTTAAGGTCACCAAACGAGATCAGAAGTCAGAGCACTCGGCTCTTGAGACGTGGTTAGTTGAGCCTCGCCCTCAAAGCTGACAAGGGATAACTTCTCTGTCCCCGTGATGAAGAAACAGCCACAGTGGTTGTTGGACTGGCTGAACTGTTTCCAGGCCAGGTCAGGCCAAGGGGCAGGGCGTTCAGGGACTGCAGGGGCCCATCTGGTGTAGGCTGCTCTTCCCGCTACGGGGATGAGCCTAAGGACCACCTCAGATCACCAAGCACAGCTTCTCTGTGCCTAACTCAAATCATAAACGCACCCTGCCCAGAGCGTCTCCACGGAAGCAGCTTCAGTGTCCTCCAACCTAAACTGCGTACCAATCCTGCCCCCACTCCTCGACGGGACGCCGCACATTTTAAAAGTGATTCAATATCATGGTATATATTTATATTTCAAAGACAAGAAAAAGCACTATAGGCTTCTGTTTTCGTACTAGGAAACCAGCTCAAAAACAATTAGGGGGTGGTGTGGTAGATGCAACTACGTGTTCTCAACCCAGGCACGGGTTCAAGGCTGAGTGGTTGCTGCTGTTCCTCAGTTATACACCACGGACACTCCCACCTCAGGGCCTCTGGACTTGCTGTTGGTCTACCTGGAGTACTTTCCACTCCGATATTCCTACGCTCCCTCCTTCCTTCCCCTTGGGCGGGTCTCCACTCATCTAACGCAGCGCACCCCCACTGCACTCCATCTCCTTGCCCAGCTGCATTCTCTCCACAGCACTCAGCTCTGCCTGGCACTTGAGCACGTATCTATTTGTTCACCGTCTGCCGCCCCACACTGGAATGCAAACTTTGCAGGGCGAAGTCTTGCTCTGTTTGCTCACTGCTGGGTCTCTAGTACCTAAAACAGTGGGCAGCAACAGCAACTGCTCAGACATTGGCGGGATGACCGAATGACTGTGTCCTGCCACATACCGGACACAGTACAGAAAGTGCGTGTGGTAATCCGCGTACACAAAGAAGTCGTCCCCTATTTTGTGGTCCAGCGTGGAATGGCTGTTCTGGAAGTAATTTAACACACTCATAATGGTGCAGTTCTTGTTATATGGTGAGAGAGGGGCCAAGCAGATGTCTTGAAGTGTCACAGTCCTGTTGTTATAAGATGCAGTAATGTTTTCGATGGCTGTTTGTAAGTCAAGAACCTGAAAGAAGATTTTACAAATAAACAAACCCAGAAACACATCCGATTCCTCTCAGATTTTGACTGTTATTGTCCTGAGGGGTCAGAAGATAAAGGGTATTTGGGGAAACTCCTTCCTAAGACAGGGGAGAGGACCAGGGCACACTATGGTGAAATATCTGATGGCCCAGAAGGCCACTCTTATAGAGGCAACTGGGATGGAGACCCTGCTTAGAGGCATCCAGAGAGACAGAGGGGTGACATCATTACCAGGACCGACCTCAGGGAGGGCACAGGAACATCTCCCCTCCCACCCTTCTCCAGCAGTGACCAACAGGGCCACAGAGGGGAGACAGGTCTTCCTGACACTCCCCCTCACCAATAAGTGACCTGCTGCCATATTCTGTACTATGATTATTTATGTATATTCCTAATAGAGAATATGCTTCTGGAGGTAAATGACTACCTTTTGCAACAAATTGGGAAAAAGCAACAGTCATTGGGTGGAGAATAGATTCTATTAAAGTCTTGGAACCATTCTGATGTTTTTCAAGATGTCAGACTTCCTGTAGGCAGAGCAACGTTTGAAGGAAAAACCATGCAATTGTGCAACCGTTCACTGGGATGCAGTTTATTCACAGATACAGTTCTCCAGGGCAAGTGTGATAAGGGAGAATGGGAAGGTTTAAAGGCCTTTGCAAGAGAACGGGATGGATCTCGCTCCAAATGCACATCTCACCAAATGCAGCTGGGGGCCTGCATTCAGGCAACCATAAGTGTTTCCTGCAGGGAGGATCAGCAGTGACCCAGCAGCTCCTGCTGAGGCTCCAGGACAGCAGAAGGGGCTCCAGTCCTCTGGGTCCTAGTGTATTACTTTTCAGTTACCAAGGGAAAAAATGCATAAGTTTCTAAGGGGAACTATAAATACATTCTGCTTCAACAAAGAAATTCTCATCTCGATTTCAAGAAAGAAGACCTACTATATGAAGCAAATACACAAGTGGTCTACAGTGAATTTTTCATTAAGTTAAACACCTATCATTCACTTTCTTGAAAACTAAGTGAAAAGCACCTTTATTTTTACCGTTAAGATTTTCAAGATATACCACTACATTCAGCCCCAAACCCTCATCAGGCAGAACTGGTCAACATGTCAAAGCCAGCAAACCCTCAGGTTCCCTGGCATTGATTTCTGCAAAGAGCAGATTACCTGGTGCAAAATCTCTATGTCAAGCGGAGGTCCAAAGGGCACGTCAGACCCCGAGGGGTACGGCTGGTAAGTGTGTACGTGGGTGTGGGGGGCCCGGATGATGAGCTGCTCTGTGCGGAAGAAAGGCCCAAAGTGCGAGTCAAAGTACTCTTTCTCCAGGCGTGCCTGGCTGTTGGGGGCTGACCAGAGGTCCACTGGATTGGTGGTGACCCGGACGAACACCAGGCCTGAGGAACATGCAGCAATGAAGGCCAGGGAGAAGAAAATGACACAGCCGGGGTTTCGCATGCAGAAAGAGCCCCACCGTGCGAAGAGCCGCCTCAAACAGCCCTCGAACGCCGCACGGGGCGGGACACAGCAGCACGCCTCCTCTGGAAGAACAAGAGAGGAAGGGAGGGTGGAGGTTAAGAGTCAAGCCATTCCGGCAAGTCGGGACAGGGAAAGCATCAGCTACCACTGCACGTGGCAGGAATCGTGCCCACACCAGGGACGTGCACAGGAGCCCCCCGCCCGGCCCTCAGCCGCCTGTCTGCTCTGGAAGCCACTCTTCCTGCCTGCCCATGACCGCCATTCCCACCCCACAGAGGAACAGTGCTCACACACAAGCCTCTGGAAGGCAAAGTTCTCGGAGGACTCGGTCCAAAGCAGTTCCCATCAACTCTTCCTGCTCCCCCCACTCTCAGCCGGCTACATCAGCACCTCCACAGCTCTCATCCCAGCCCAGATTATTCTAGTGTTATTATTCATTACTTGGTCCTGATCTGCCATCCTGACTGGACTGTTAGTGCCACAAAGGCAAGGACCCTGTCTGTCTTGATCACAGCTGTGTCCTGGTTACTAGCACAGTGCCCCTCCCAGAGCAGGCGCATAAATGTTTGTGGAGGACTCTCATGCCAACATAATCTTAACCCTTTTATTTAAGTACAATCGTGCCTACCTTTGTCACTGGCAGTTACAGAGAAAGCTATATTGCTATCAGCATAGGTGTACTCAGAGACAAAATATCGTTTTCTGAAAAATAAAAGCATATAAGTAGTGCTATAGACTTCAGCATAATGAGGCTGTTCTGACTTTCCCATCATCCCATTACAAGCCGCCTTCCTCACCCTGTTTTTTCCTCCCTAATTGTTGCCTCCTTTCCCCTAAGTCCCCTTGCTCTGTGTCCCTCTGCTCACCAGTCTCAGGAGAAAATTTAAGAAGGTATTAAAAAAACAAAATAATAAAGGATAATTTCACCTTGTAGCCCTCATTTATATTTAAAACTTTTAGGTCCTTTAAAAACACAGTAAACACCATACTGCAGTAGCAATGAGCATACCTAGTGCCTAGATCTTGGTTTCTAAATACTATTCTCCAATAAAATGAACCAAGGCTCCTTGCAGAAGAGGTCGACTCCAGGGCTGGGGCCAAGAAAAATACAAGATGAGCCTGGAACAGCTTGTGATTCCAGAAAATAAGAATTGGCTTGAGAAAGGTAGGGGAATGTTTAAAACACAGGAGCCAACAAGAAGGTGCTCCCAATGGTCAAAACCGGAAAAATCTGAGCAACAAAATAAAAGATAGTATTGGATAGAGCCCATAGAATTAAACAAAAAGTTGGTGATGTAAATATAATTGAATAGATAATAAGCTGGGGAGAAGGGATAACGTTCCCTTCTGGACAGAATAAAGTCCAATTAATAAACATAGAAGGAATGAGAGAAATCCAAAATCACCATCAGGCAAACACGCCAGTCATAACTGTTGCAGACAAGATGCACTAATGGATGCTACAATCAGAGGGGGACACTTCGAGGAGAAATGAGGTATAAGCCTAGTCTCAACGCACCTCCTCTAAGAGATTTATCAACTCCAAAGGGAGAAATAGTAACTCTACAGTGGAGAGACCCAGTAGACACCATCTCAACCATGGGCTCAAGGTTAACATCACCAGTAACCAGACATATTGAGATCATGTGCCCCTTGATATGATACACTGATAGAAGAGAAAGACACATCACTTCTGTGCTATGCTTGTCAAAAACACATAACCTCAGTCTAATCATAAAAAAACATCAGATAAAGCCAAATTGAGGGGCGTTCTACAAAATAACTGACCAGTACTCATCAGAAGTGTCAAGGCCATAAAAGAAAAGGAAAGACTGAGGAATTTTCCCAGATTGGAGGAGAACAATAAAACACAAAACGTGAATGTGCTTTGGGATCCTGAAACAGAAAAGGGGCATTAGAGGAAAAACCAATGAAATGTGAATAAAGTCCGTGGTTTAGCTAATAATATTACACAAACGTTATTTTCATGGTTTTGATAATTATATACTATGGGTGATGTAAGCTGTAACACTAGGGGAAGCTGGGTAAAGGACATACATAAACCCTACTATTTTTGCACCTTTTTGGTAAGTCTAAAATCATTTCAAAATAAAAACTTTAAAAAACTGTACTGTCCTAAATCAAGACGCAAACACCTAAAAGGCCTACAGTCTTGCATTTAAATAGATCCGTACCAGATTCAGCTCATAAGACTCTCCGTTAAAGAATGGGTGGTTAATGCACGGTGCTTTAAATCACACATCATTTTGAACACATCAATGAAACCAACTTCAAATGTTGAAATGTCCACAGAGGCCTTTGACTATTTACTAGCTACAGGACACAAGCATTCACGGAGCGGCATCATCTGGTTCCCTGTTCTCATTCCCCGAGGACTACACGTGGAAGCTGGAAGTGCCACGCAGTAATCTTGCTCTTCTTGCCCCGGAGGATAAACAAAACTGCTTACCTGTAGCACCAGAGGGCAAAAAATGCTCCAAAAAACACCAGCAAAAAGGCCATGTAGGTGATCCACATGATGACATACATGGCGTCCAGGCCCAAGATTCTCCAGGGAGCAGGAAGGGGTGGGGGCTGGGGCTTGGGGCCACACACCGCCGAGCAATCCTGGCAACTGCACGGCCCCGTGACCTCGTCCATAGACTCATCACAGCCCTTGGTGGCATTGTTCATGGGCTCCATCCCATGGGCTGGAAGGTCTGCAGGGAGGATTGTGTTGTGAATATCTCAATAAAAAAAAATTACAAAGTTGGTATTAAATGATATTTAAACCCAATGATAAGCGCTCTGAAATAATATAACACAACCGGAAGAATAAAAAGGACTAGAGGTTTCTATATCATCAAATGATGTTTTGCTGCTTAGTCCTGTAAAATTTTACATTGCCTCAATAACTGTGGGCATAGAGTCTGTCACTGAGATTCAAATACACCACATTCCAGGGTAAACCTTCAGTCGTGTCTTATCTCCACTGAGGAGCTAGTCTAACACTACTGCAGAGCTCCTGAAAAGGCCTTTGCAATGCTTTTTGACCATTTAAAAAACAAAAACAAAACCCAGCTTATTCTTTCAATTATGCAGCACCACCTGAAGGCAACTCCTCTTGCTCCTCCGCTCCTGCTCGCAGCCCCTAAGGCAACCAGGGGCAGGAGAGACGCTCCAGCTACCTCTCTCACTGGAGGACTGGAGGGAAGCTCCAGGAACTAGTTACCTGCGTTTTCCTTCCTATTGCAGTTTAAGGTTCCTGGGCTTTAAAAAAACACCACAAGTACCCCAAACTTGGGAGTCCTTATCCCTACCTGAAAACACGGGTGTGATAGTGAAGGGCGCCTGGCCGTTGTCCTTATTGAACATGTACTGGATCCAGTTGGTGGCATTGCAGGCCTCGGCTTGCTTCCCACACAGCAGCCCCAGGGCTTTGTCATTACTTGAGGGGGCCTCCACATCCCTGCAGGCGTTGTACATGGCTGGCAGAGGAATAAGGGGAAAAGGCTGAAACACCACGCTGCCTTAATACACCAGCAAGATCTTACAAAAGCCCTCTCAAATGGGAACTTGGAACCCACACACTCTGCAATCAGAAGCCACGGGCTGGAACACAGAACAGCAAACACTAAGGGCAGGAATGGAGATCACCCCTGAAACCGGCCTACCACCCTGCAGTTAATATGCTAGGCCAGACTCCAACTAACTTAAATGTGAAAAACAGACAGGAAAGGCTTACGTCATCCCACGTAGATCACAATACCTTGGAGAAGTATTAGCCCCACTGTACGGAAGAGCAAACTAAGGCTGAGGAAGGAGAAACCTTCGTGCCTCTTCAGTCAATGAAGCTGGTTCCAGAAAAGTTCTCTGGCAGGAAACTACACAGCTGGAGAATTCCAGAACTTAAAGGGGAAAACCGGTTTTGGGCAGGAGTCACGTGTGAATGAACCTAATACTACTCTCTTCTTTGGTTTCAGTTTAGTACACATTTAGACAACACACTAAATAAGGGTTAATGTCAATGCCATTTTGCACATAAGGAAGTGGCAGTAATGGGTCCTACATTAATATTCACTTACCACTCCCTGCTTGTTAGAAACGTTCCAGGACCCTCTTCCCCCAAACCTTAAGGAGATACTTATAAATTCATTGTGTTTTACCCTCACTCTTGGAAGACAGTTTAGCTGGAGTGATAGTTATTTTCTTTAGTACTGTGATTATTCCATTGCCTTCTGGCCTCTATCACTGCTGGTAAGAAAATCTCCAATTGTCATTCTTTCGAAGTGACTTGTATCTTTTTTCTACTTGCTTTTAAGATATTTGTCTTTGGAGTTTTATAGTTTTTCTAAGCTATATTTAGGTATGGATTTTTTTTTTTTTAACAGCTCTATTGAGATATAATTCACATACCATACAGGTCACCTATTTAAAGTTACAATTTAACGTATTTTAGTGTATTCACAGGTAAGTGTAAGCATCAGCACAATTTCCTTAAAAAAAGAAATCCTATACCCTTTAGCTAATGCTCCCTTATCTCCCCAACCCCCAAGCAACCACTAATTTACTTCTGTTTCTATAGTTGCCTATTTTGGACATTTCATATAAATGGAATCATATAATACATAGTCTTTTGTGACTTCTTTCACTTAGCATGATGTTTTCAAGGTCCACCCATGTTGTAGCACGTATCCGTACTTCATTCTTTTTTACAGCTGAATAATATTCCATCGTATGGATATACCACCTTTTGTTTATCTATATACCACTTCACGGATAACTAGGTTGTTTCTACCTTTTGGCTATTATGAATAATGCTGCTATAAATACTTGTGTACAGGTTTTGTGTGGGCATACGTTTTTTCTCCTCTTGTGAGCAGAATTGCTGGGTCATATGGTAACTTTATATTTAACTGTTTCAGGAACTGCCAGACTGTTTTCCCAAGTGACGGCATCATTTTTCATTCCCACCAGCAGGGTATGAAGGTTCCAATGATTTCTCCACATCCCTGCCAACACTTGTTATCCAACTTTTTGATTCTAGATATCCTAGTAGATGTGAAGTGGCATTTCACTGTGGTTTTGATTTGCATTTCTCTGATGACTAATGATTTGAAGAATCTTTTCATGTGCTTATTGGCCATTTCTATCACTTCCTTAGAAAAATGTCTATTCAGATCCTTTGCCCATTTTTAATTGGGCTATCTATTTAATATTGAGTTGTAAGCATTCTTTATATATTCTAGATACAAGTCCTTTATTAAATACATGATTTACAAATATTCTTGCCTTTTCTTGATGATGTCCTTTGAAGTACAGTTTTTTATTATGAGCAAGTCCAACACATCTATTTTTTTCTTTTGCCGCTCATGTTTTTGGTGTCTTATCTAAGAACCCATCGCAAAATCTGAGGTCATGAAGATTTATCCTTATGTTTTCTTCTAAGAGTTTTCTCATTTTGGCTCTTACATTTAGGTCTTTGATCCACTTTAAGTTAACTTTTGTATATGTTGTGAGGTTAGGGTCCAACTTCATTCTCTTGCGTGTAGCTATCCAGTTGTTCAAGTACCATTTGCTAAAAAGATTCTTCTTTCCTCACTGATTTTTGGCATCCTTGTCAAAAAATCAGATGACCATAGATATGTGGGTTCATTTTCAATTCTACCTCATAGTTCTATATGTCTATCCTTATTCCAGTACCATACAGTCTTGATTTCCATTGGTTGGTAGTAAACTTTGAAATTGGGAGTGTGAGTCCTACTTTGTTCTTCTTTTTGAGGATTGTTTTGACTGTTCTGGGTCCCCTGCAATTCCAAGTGAATTTTAGAATCAGTCTGTCAATTTCTACCAAGAAGTCAGTTGGGATTCTGATAGGCTTTGCCTTGAATCTGTAGATCAATTTGGGGAGTACAGCCATCTTAACCATATTAAGTCTTCTGATCCATAAACATGGAGTGTCTTTCCATTTATTAAGATCCTCTTCAATTTCTTTTAATAATGTTCTGTAGTTTTTAGAGTATAAGTTTTACACTTCTTTTGTTAAACTTATCCCTAAGTATTTTATTCTTTTCGATACTATTGTAAATTGAAATGTTTTTTTAATTTCATTTTCAGATGGTCCATTGCAAGTGTACAGAAATACAATTGATTTTGTATATTTCATTTCTTTTTAATTTATCTGGCTTATGGATTCATTATCTTTTCCTAAGTCGGAGGATTCATCTCTCATCCATTCTGGAAAGTCCTTAGCCATTATCCTTTTGCTTATTGTCTCTCCGCAGCTCTCTCTCTTTTCTTTTTCTGGAGCTCCTCACTTTATCCCATATGTCACTTCTTTAATGATTTCCAGATCTTTATACCTCTATGCTGTTTCCTGGGTAATTCCCTCATATCTTCCAACTCACCATTTGGTTTTCAGGGTTTTTTTTTTTTATTAAATATTTCAAGCATTCAGAAAATATGGAGAATACAATTCTCATTTACTCACAATCTAGCTAAATCAATCTTACTATTTTACAACATTAGCCTCAATATTTAAAAAAATAATACACTATAGGATACAGTTGAGCCCCATGACTACCCCTCCCTATGAGCATCCCCCCTTCTTTAAGGTAACCACAATCTGGAATTTGATGTTTATCTTTCCCACGCATGTTGGTGTACTTTTATGATATACTATATCCATAAATATGTACTGTTTAATATAAACATTACTACATATATTCTGTATTTGTTTTCAGTCAATATTTTTTAAGAATCATTCATGTGACCGACATAACTCTAATTCATACATTAACAGTTTTAAGTATTCCATTATAGACTATGACTATGCTCCAATATAGTTATCTATTCTCCTCTTAATTAGCATTTAGTGTCTCTAATTTAAAAAAAATTTTTTTAATGGATTTTATTTTTTAGAGCAGTGTTAAGTTCACAGTAGAACTGAGTAGAAAGTAGCAAGTTCCCACATAACCCCTGCCTCCACACAAGCACAACCTCCACACGATCAACAGCAGCAGAGTGCTACACTTGTTACAGTCAATGAACATACACTGACACATCATCATCACCCAGAGTCCATGGTTTACTCTAAGGTTCACTTGAGATGTTGTACATTCTATGAGTTTTGGCAAATGTATGACATGTATCCACCATTATAGTACCAAACAATAGTGTCACTGCCCTAAAAATCCCGTGTTCCTCCTATTCATTCCTCTCGCCCCCCAACCCCTGGCAACCACTGATCTTTTTACTGTCTTCATAGTTTTGCCTTTTCCAGAATGTCTTATGGTAGAAATCATAGAGTACTTAGCCTTTTCAGATTGGTTTCTTTCATTTATTAAGGTTCCTTATTTTTAGTGCTGAATAATAGTTCATTGTCTGGATGTAGCACAGTTTATCCATTCACCTACTGAAGGACATTTTGGTTGCTTCCAAGTTTTGGCAATTATGAATAAAGATAATATAAACATCCACGTGTAGGTTTCTGTGGATGTTTTCAATTCTTTGGGCTAAATACCAAGGAGGATGATTGATGGATCGCTTGGTAAGAGTACTTTTTAGTTTTCTACGAAATTGCCAAACTGTCTTCCCAAGTGGCTGTACCATTGCGCATTCCCACCAGAAATGAATAAGAGTTCCTGTGGCTCCACATCCTCACCAGTACTTGGTGGTGTCAGCTTTTTCGATTTTGGTCATTCTAATATGTATGTAGTGGTATCTCGTTGTTCAATTTGGAATTCCCTAATGACATATAATGTTAAGCACCTTTTCATATGCTTATTTACCATCCATATTCCTTCTTTAGTGAGGTGTCTGTTCAAGTCTTTTGTGCATTTTTAATTGGGTTGTTTGGTTTCTTATCGTTAAGAGTTCTTCACATATTTTGGGTAATACTCATTTATGAGATGTCTTTCTGCAAGTATTTTCTCCCAGTCTGTGCTTGTCGTCTCATTCTCTTGACATCTCCAATTTTTCATGATCACAAAAATGCTACAATGAATGTTCTTAAATGGTCTCCCTGTTTACATGCATTAAGAGTTTCTCTAAGGCAAGGCAGGCATCTGTAAGTGGAATTTCTGGAATGAGGGTATATTTATCTTCGACTTTACCAGGTATTGCAAAATTGTTTTTCAAATGGTTTTCAAACACTTGCACCACATTATGGTTATCAGTGGGCAGTATCTTAGCAATCCTACTGCTCCACACCCTCACCAGTATTTGGAACTGACAACTTTTTAAATGTGTGGCAATCTGATGTGTGAAATGGTAGCTTACTGCTAATCTGCATTTCACTGATTTCTCTAGATACTAATCATTTATATTTATAAACCTTTTCACTTATGGTTTCTGCCTTTCCTCTATTGTCTAGAACCCTTCCTTACATTTAAGTCATAAAGATCTTCTTTATGTACTTCTAAATATTTCCAAAATTAGGATTTTTAATCTATACATTTTTAGTATGATATGCAAAAATAAAAATTAGATGAATATAATAATTTTTCTCCTCCATTTATCAACTAGCCCACCTTTTCCCTTAACAATCTGCAACAACACACCTGCTATATATCAACTGTCCACATGCACAGTTCTGTTTCCAGAACAATTTCTCCCCATTCAGTCACGTTGCCTTTTATGTCATATCTTTTGGCATATTTAATCCTAGGAACCTTACTTTTTGTTGCTTTTGTAAATGGGATCTTTTTTCTATTAAAAATTTTTTGTTACATTTTTAATTGATCATTAAAATTAAATTTGTATGTTGCTCTTATAGTCAACAACTTTGCTAAATTCTTTTTCTCTTATTTTAGATTGTTCTTGGGAATATTCTTTAGTCAGCTTTGTCTAATCTACTGTTCATCTTTTAGTCCATTTAAATGATGATTTCAGGGGCCGGCCCAGTGGCTTGGCGGTTGAGTGCGCGCGCTCCGCTGCTGGCGGCCTGGGTTCGGATCCCGGGCAAGCACCGACATACTGCTTCTCCGGCCATGCTTAGGCTGCATCCCACATGCAGCAACTGGAAGGATGTGCAACTATGACACACAACTATCTACTGGGGCTTTGGGGGAAAAATAAATAAATAAAAATTATTTTTTAAAAAAAATGATGATTTCTCATTAATAGATCCAGTTTGTTCTATTTCTAATCTGTTCTTTTTCCCTAGTGTTCTATTCTTTCAGAATTCTTTCATTTCAATAATTTTCAACAAACATTATATGGTATTTTCCAGATTATTCTATGATTTCTAGTTGTTGGAGTTCCCTTTCTCCTATTTGTTATACCTGCTTACTTTCCCTTATGGTGATCTGCTTCTTCATAGTCAAAATCTCCTCTCCTCTGCCAACTAGCTCTACCTTCCACCCCCTCTCCTCAGTCTTGCAGTAATTCATGAAGTTACACAATTCATGTCCACTAGAACCAAAGTTCCAATGGTTTCTAAAATATACAGAAATAAACTTGCACATATAGTAGTCCCCGTTATCTATGGTTTCACTAACCAAGGTTTTGCTTTCTGCGGTTTCACTTACCAGCAGTCAACCGTGGTCTGAAAATATTATATAGAAAATTCACTACGTCACAATGCCTAGTCATTCACCTCACTTCATCTCATCACACAGACATTATATTATCTCACATCACCACAAGAAGAAGGGTGAGTACAATACAATAAGATATTCTGAGAGAGAAAGACCACATTCACATAACTTTTATTACTGTATAGCTATAATTGTTCTATTGTATTATTAGTTGTTAATCTCTTACTGTATCTAATTTATAAATTAAACTTTATCATAGCTATGTATGTATAGGAAAAAACATAGTATATATAGGGTTCAGTACTATCTGTGGTTTCAGGCATCCAGTGGGGGTCTTGGAACATATCTGCTGAGGATAAGGGGGGACAACTGTACTAAAAATTTCCATATGGGAACTTATAGTTAGGAAGTAGTTAAAGCAAATACTTTAAGCAGATTGTGTAATAGGTTGTACCTCGAGTCCTAGGGTACAAGCAAAGCGACAACTCAAATTTCATGGCCAATGGAACTAATAATTGTCATTTTCACACAGTTGACAGGACAACAACAACAAAACAATTTGATCCACTGCCCTGATACCAACTGTAGAAGAGGAATAACTAAAAGTTTACTTACCATTGGCAAAACTCTCTCCAACATAGTACTGTAATTCTACTACATTTGTTTTCGTCTGGTTTTTATAAGGATCAACATAATCTTCAGTTGCTGTAACGTTCAGAAACTGACTTTGTCGAGCGCTACATGTCAGCTCGCAAAACAGGTTCATTAGGTTATAAAAACAGGATGGACATCTAAAGAAAAAGTAAACTACATTTTGTATGATCTCACAGATAACAGGGCCAGCATAAAGGTGATTTAAAATAGACAAAGAATATTTAAAATTTATTGTAAAGCAACAAATAAATTACCACAAGGACATATTAAACCCAGCAAGTCTAAACCCAAAACCTCATGTTAAAATGAAGACACCTCTTTAAAAACTGCCCAATTACTACATTTATGTTACCCAGATATAATTTCAAAAAAAGAAAATTGCTTCTCTGAATTCTGCACTTTATAATTTACAGACATGTTTTCTTTGTCTTGAAGCTAAAGAGACTTAGGAGCATCATGACGACAATTCTGATTAAGAAGAAAAAATGAGATTCACACATAAGAATTTTCACCTTCTAACCTACTGAAGGGCTCTTTTCCAAGGCCCAGATAATCCCTAGGGCCTCTCTAAACATAAGAGGACTTCCCTGTGACTTGAGAAGATAAAAAGAACAGCAGGTGTTCTCTGGCTGCACACATTTCAGAAGCACACAGGTTCTCATGAGAACCACAAGCTGCCTGCTGTCCTTCAGGTTCAAAGTTTAAGCTCCAAATGTTGAATAGTTACATGGCAAAGGAATTCTCTCCCCTCTTTGGTTCACTGTTATCTGCAAAAGCTATTACTTCATTAGACTTGCATTCTTGACACACAGCCAATCAAGACTGCTCTCTACTCTGATCCAGTCCAGGCGACCACACACAACACAGAACAAGGAAGGTGTGGTCCAAGCCCTCACAGCCTCTGGTCTAGTGAAGGAGCAGACATGCACACTGACTCTCTTTCAGGAGTCCTGTGCTTTACTGTGACAAAAACAGGAACAACAATTACACCATTCTAACAAAAATCACTCAGGGTACACAGTTTTCTATCATATTCCACATATTACGAACCTCTTTCCATGTTACTACATTCAGTCTCCACAATCACCACTTTTGACAGCTGCATAATATTCCATATATTAGCTTCTCATTATTTGCTATTATAAAGCAAGCCTTGGTATCTCTGAAAACTTGGTTACCTTTTTTTTTTTGGTGAGGAAGATTAGCCCTGAGCTAACATCTGTTGCCAATCCTCCTCTTTTTGCTGAGGAAGATTAGCCTTGGGCTAACATCGGTGCCCATCTTCCTCTGCTTTACATGTGGCACGCCTGCCACAGCATGGCTTGATAAGTGGTGCATAGGTCCACATCTGGGATTTGAATCCACCAACCCCGGGCTGCTGAAGTAGAGCATGTGAACTTAACCTGGTTACTACACTGCTGGGCTGGACTCATGAAAACCTGGTTATTGTTTGATGTTTATTTCCATAACACCCCAGTAGGTGCTAAATAAATGTACTGTGACTGAATGATGGCTCCAATCTAGCTCCACCAACATCCACTAGCCTTCCACAGGATACATGGGCCCGATTAGATTCTCAACTTTTTGATCTATTATTATACAGGCAGTCCCCAACTTACAATGGTTCAACTTACAATTTTTCAACTTTACAATGGTGCAAAAACGATAAGCATTCAGTAAAAACCAAACTTCAAACTTTGAATTTTGATCTTTTCCCGGGCCAGCGATACGCGGTACAACACTCTCTTGTGATGCTGGGCAGCGGCAGTGAGCCGTAGCTCCCATCAGCCCCATGATCACGAGGGCGAACAACCCATACACTCACAACTGTTCTGTACCCATCCAACCATTCTGTTTTTCACTTTCAGTACAGTATTCAATAGATTACATGAGCTATTCAACACTTTATTATAAAACAGACTTTGTGTTAGATGATTTGCCCAACTGTAGACTAATGTAAGTGTTCTGAGCTCATTTAAGGTAGGCTCGGCTAAGCTGTGATGTTTGGTAGGGTAGGTGTATTAAATGCATTTTCAACTTAGATGTTTTCAACTTAAGACGGGTTTATCAGGACTAACCCCATCATAAGTCAGGGAAGATCTGTATTGTATGTTGTCCTGAAAGAACAATTTAGGGAGGGTTTTTCACTGTGTATCGTCAACTTAAATCTCTGGGAAGCAGGGTTTCCTCAGCAGACGCCGACCCGTGCCCCATCACCTGCAGCAGCAACTGCATGGAGGAGCGTTCCGTCTGCGGTGTCCTCCCATCCACCCTCACCTGGGTGCTCAAGCGTGAGAAAGCCAGAAAGATATCACGATGTTCTGGTCGGAAAGCCACCACCAGCTTGTTCTGGTGCACATTTGAGAACTGTTGGCTAAACTTAGGGAAGAATATCTATTACACAAGTCTTTTCACTGCCCTTGTCGTAGAGAACAAACTGGAGAGTGAAGTAATTTTGACAAAACCAGCCAACTATGCCAGAACAAGCTGCTTAACAGTCAGCAAAGGCCAGCTCCACCAAGGACTGGAACTCTAGCACATCACGTCACCACAGGGAGAGAGAACCACATGCAAAACAGGGGAAGTGAGGAGAGGGAGGCAACGCAGAGGACTGCATGGATAAGGGTGTCTCAGGTCAGAGACCTGAGCAGGACCACCGGGAGCCTCTCCTCCCCACAGCGCAAAGAGGCTCAAGTCTGAAAGGACCAATCCCCAATGCAGACACCCTTTGGGGTAAAGACATCTCAAAGGAAGACCAAGTATCAACACTGAACGTAATTAGGAAGAGAATTAAGTTGGATAACTAATACTTTAACAGAAGTTATTCTTTACCTCTGAGAGTCATAAGATTGCTTTCTTAAAATAAAACAAAAGCAAACTTTTTTTGTGTGTGTGAGGAAGATCAGCCCTGAGCTAACATCCATGCCAATCCTCGTTTTGCTGAGGAAGACTGGCCCTGGGCTAGCATGTGTGCCCGTCTTCCTCCACTTTATATGGGACGCCGCCACAGCATGGCCTAACAAGCGGTGGCTGGGTGCGCGCCCGGGATCCAAACCTGGGCCGCCAGCAGCGGAGCACGCACACTTAACTGCTATGCCACAGGACCGGCCCCAAAAACAAACATTCTAAAAGAAATCAGAATGCTATTGGTTAAAAGGAACTAAAGTCCATTTTTTCTGTTTGCCTGGCAGTCAACCTACCTGGACAGAAACTGTAGAGGAAGTTGCAGGTTGTTCTTCAGCGTCTGAAGCTGCTGAACATCACAGCAAAGACTGACATTGCCAAAGAAGAATCCTGGACAGAGCTCCTTTTGGATGAGAAAGCATGAATCTCAGAGTAGCACAGCTAAATAAGAATAAACATTCCTAAATGAAATAAGAAAATTTTACTCATATAAATCCTTTTTAGGTACCCAAGGGCAAGACATGTATTTGCAAAGCTCTTGCAGAACTCTTTTAAAAGGCTATCGAATTTACAAGTAGAGGTAGTACAGACATTTCTAATTTTTTTCTTATTTAGTAGCTCACTCTCCCCCCTTGACAATTACTTTACCTCTTAGGTTTTTTTGTGTAAGTTCAACCAGAACGCTACTTACTATTTCCATTAGTCACTCCAGGGAAAGTCAAATGCTTTTCATAATTCTGTCGAAAGTAGCAAGTAAGTCTAGAAGACCTGCCAGCATGTCAATTTGATTTTAGATTACGTAAGCCTCTAAAACTAGTCTTTCACTTTGATTTTTCCAGTTCTTTTCTAATATCCCTGTGGACCAGGGATGGTAAAAGAAGACAACAGAAAACAGAATCTTGGTAGCAACCAAAGTTCACAGGCTCTCAGTGGAAAACGGAAGAGTCACTAAAATGAACACAGGACAAGGGAGTCATAGGTACTTAGCAGCCTTGTTTACTCAAGTCCTGAAATCTAGGAACCAAACAAGTTAACTTTAATATATTTTGAAGAAGCTGCAAAAAGCAACATTTGACGTAGGAAGGTCAGTCTCTAAATAGTAACCTGCGAGTGGGAAACTTTACAAGAAAGGCTGAAGTCAGCCCCAGAAAAATTAAGCCTCTGGAGTCTGGCTGTTATCTTCTCTGCCATTGTTTGTTACAGATAAGAGTTTGGGACAAGATTTAAGCCTATTAGTTTCACCTCCACCCCCACTCCCACAATATTTAAGGTATAAATACAGAAGATCGTGATCAGCACTTTGTGTTCCCAATGCCCAAGACGACAAACTTACCTGCACTAAATCATACCCATCCTTTGGCAATGGTTTTGGTGGCCCAGAATATTTACAATTGTACCTCTTATCTCCAGATGCAATTCCACACTCTCCATACCAAACACAGGATTGTGAAAACACCTACAGAAAGTCAACACAAAACTCAGTTCATCAGGGCCCCAAGGGTAAAACAAATTTCAACAGCAAAAGGTGCCCACTCACGCACTATTACAGAATTTTCCAATGTTACCTGCAAAATGAAATAACAGCAAGAGGCACTGGTTAGTTTAACATTTTGAAAAATATTAATTAAAATAGACCAAATGGACTTGTCAAGTCAGTCAGTGAAGTAGGTATTAGAAATTACTTATTTTCGGGCCGGCCCCGTGGCTTAGCGGTTAAGTGCGCGCGCTCTGCTGCTGGTGGCCCGGGTTCGGATCTCGGGCGCACACCAACGCACTGCTTCTCCGGCCACGCTGAGGCCGCGTCCCACATAACAGCAACTAGAAGGAAGTGCAGCTATGACATACAACTATCTACTGGGGCTTTGGGGGGAAAAAAGTCAATAAATAAAATTGTTAAAAAAAACAAAAAGAAATTACTTATTTCCACGATTCCTACTTCCTGCTAATTTATTTGTTGAGAAGAGAAAGCTATAGATCCAAGTAAGAATCACTAAAAATCAGTGTAGAGGAAAGAAAGCAAGATAGTATGTAAGTTTGCAATTACTACGGCACTATTTCTGCACAGCTGCATAAGGAATTATATAGTCTCTAATTAATGAAAGAACATTTCCATATATATTTAGGTTAATTAACATCAGCACATCATGAGTAATGGGAAGAAGAAAACCACAAACACCAATAAACCCTAAGTAAGAAGAAGGATAAATCCTAAGTAAGAAGGAGCAAGAAAGAACTCCTTGTATTCAAGAAAGCAAGAAATGTGTAGAAAGCAAGGAATGTGCTAACTTTAAGGAAAATCACCTCAGCAATCTTAAAAGAAAAAATTTAAACGTTTTATGTAAAGATTTCTCAAGGGTGACTCATACTCCCCATGTGAGAGTCACAAGGCTGTTGAAAATTCAGAAGGGGAGGAGTGCAGTGAATCATCGCGTCAGCACAGCCACCAGGCTCTGGCAAGCTAGCCTGCAAAGTCTTGCAATCATCTGTCCCAGAGGGAAACAAGGGACATCGCAGAAGCAACCACGGCTTCCAAGACACCTGGTGGAAAAGCCATTTAAAAAAAATCTGAATAGAAGCAACAGCATGAATTCTCTCCAGTGACAGTGGCACATGGCCCACACATATGCAAGGAGCTAAGTCAGTCTGGGTTGGTCCCCAGCATCAAGATACAAATCCACAACAGTCCCTGAAGCCCTAAGATCATGAAAGAAGAAACAGGCAGGAGGCTGGGGTATATATGTGGGGAATCTAAGGGGTCAATATAACGTGTCTCTGAATTTATTCTTCAAGTATTTTAAAGCGGAACTTATGACTTACCCCTTTGTTAGGCCACAAGAGAGGGAAATTAAACAAATGAGGGAAGTGACAAGTATTCACCACTACCACATACCAAACCTTTGGCAAAATTCCACTACCATTTTTACATAAAAAGAAAAACAATTATTTCCATAAACCTGGCGATTCTAGGCAAAGTATTGCAACTTTGGGTTTCCAACTAAAAGCTTATTATCCATCTACCAAAATCTGAACAGGCAAAAGCTGACTAAGGAGGCAGGGATACCGCTGTTGTTGACATGTAATTTAAATACGGGGGACCCCTCCCTAAACCCCACACAATTCTCAACAGACCAGCAGGGCAAGCAGGTCCAGGCCTGGGGGCACACCAGCATGTCACCAGCCAGAGCGGCAGAAATCCAGTCAACAAACCAGACTGGCACGACAGACAGGATGGGTGTCTGGAGTCTAAGTTCCCCTTCCCTGGCACTATCAAAGAAAATAAAGATGACCCAATGTGGTTAGGTTCCTAGCCACAAAGATCATCCTCTATAATCCACATCATTTATTTCAAAGCAAAGTTGTTTCACTCATCTGGCAGAAGAGAGGTGGGGGAGGGGAGAGGCGCAGAGCAGTCAGGAGTCCTGGCTTCTGCTCCTCAGCACTCACCAGGCTCCTAAGACATGTGCTTGCTGAGCGGGATCACACCTGGAGCAGGTTACTTAACCGTGCTGAGCACTTTTCCTACCTGTGAACCGCAGCGATAACCTCCGCTTATCTCACAGGTTTGGTGTGAAGATCAAAGGAATACACGTAGCAGTACTCAGTAACCTACAGAGCACCATACAGTCAAATGTAAGGAATTATTCTACATGTCTTCCAACTGTCTGGGACCTCAGCAAAGAGGTCCCAATGGCCTGAAGAAAATAAGCAGCTGAGTTTCTTTGGGCCCAGGAAAACAGGGCTCCACTCCGCTCTCAGGTTCGCCTCCCTGTCACCCCGCCTAAAGCAGCAGCCCTAAGCCAGGGGCCCAAGGCACTTACGAGCCACGTACTGTGTACCAGGCGCTGGCTTACCTGCTCTTCATGGATTAACCCAAATAATCCTCACAACAAATTGATGAGGGACATGCTAATATTATACCCATTTCACAGACGAGGAAATGGAGACAGAGAGGCTAAATAACTTGTCCAAGAGCGGCAGAGCCAGGATTCAAACCAGAACATTCTAGTTCCAGAAACAGACTCTCAATAAAATATAATCAACTGAGTAATTAAGGTCCTCTGGCATTACACCACTCCCTACCTGTGCAAGGCAGGAGCACGTGTGCACTCACTCACAGCTGTACCGGCGGGGGAGGCCTCTTTCTGCCCTTAAATCTCTCTCTCTCTCAGTCTCCTCTCTCCTCACCTACAGCTGAACATGAGAGCCGGTCTCCCTCACCCACAGGCCCGGCTGGAGCAGCGTTCCTGAGCCTCCTTGGGGACCTCCATCACCTGACCTCTTTCTCTTCCGGATTTTCAACCTCATCTCTTTGTTGATCCCTTCACCTGCTCCTGCCTATAAACACTGCTCCAATTTCATTCTCCTCCTCAAACCACCCCCAGCTTCTCTCCAGCCGCACTTCCAACTACCTGCCTGACTACCCCAGGTGCTCGAAAAGAAACTAATCCTCCCTCCAAAGCCTCCTCCATCGCCAAGCCTTCTTCATCAGGGTTTAAAGGCTAGGCACCTTTCAGATGGGAACCTTTCCCGGAAGCTCCCCAGCGCGGTCTCCCACGCCCCTCCTCTACGGAGCACACAGCCACCCTTTGTCAGCCTCGTCACCTCCCATCCAGACCTCGGCAATGTCTCCTAGGCACAGCTGCCACCTGGCTCTTCCTGAGCTGTGGCTCCAAAGTTTTCCGATGCTCAGAAACCTACAATCCACCCTTCTGTCACCCAGAGAAGTCCCTAAAACATTTTCTTTTTTTTTTTTTTAAAGATTTTATTTATTTATTTTTCCCCCCAAGCCCCAGTACATAGTTGTCTGTCATAGCTGCACATCCTTCTAGTTGCTGTATGTGGGATGCGGCCTCAGCATGGCTGGAGGAGTGGTGCCTCGGTGCGCACCCGGGATCCGAACCCGGGCCACCGGCAGCGGAGAGCACGCACTTAACCGCTAAGCCACGGGGCCGGCCCGGCCCTAAAACATTTTCCACGTCTAATGCTTTAAGTCGTGCTTGCTTATCGGAACCAAGGCAGAACATTGCCAGACGGCCAAATCACAGACCTGGACCAAACCAGAAAGGTCCAAGATGGCGATGGGGTGCCCTGGGCAAGGGCAAGAAGGGAAGATCTGCGCATGCCCCAACTGCCCCCCGCCCTGAGCTATGATGCAGAGACCCCTCCCCCTTCACATCCCATAAGAACCCTGCTCACCTTCTCTTCTGGGAGAAGGTGTTTTAGAGCATGAGCTCTCCCTTCTCCAGTTGTTGATCAACAAATAAAGTTGCTGCTCTGAATATTCCGAAGCTGGTCTCATTCTATTGGCGTGAGCAGCTCCAAGCAAAAGGACTCACTTGAGGGTCACCGGTCCCTTAGGCTCGGTAACATTCTCATAGCCTGTGAGACAAACTCCAGATGCCTCACCTGGCTCTGTTGAGCACTCTCATCTCCTACTCTTCCTTCCCTTCTGTCCCACTTTTAAGTGGGACTTGCCTGTGACTGAGGCTACCTACCCGAGGCCTGGCTGGTTGGAAGCTGGAGCTCTTATCCTCACACTGCACTGAGGGTTACTCCTCAGTGGACCACTGGCTGGGCAATGCTCATCTCTGTATCCCACCAAGAACCTAGCTGGCATCCAAGCCACTGGATTTCCAGTCTCCAAATCACCACAGCACAGCGGGCAGTCAGGACTCGATTGATGAAGGTGACAGATACATCTTAAGATCCCTGGACTGTCAGAGCAGCACATGCTGACACTGAGACCAAGGATGCACCCTGCAATGAAGAGCTCACGTACAGGCCACACACTTCCCTTCTAAGCAAAGCATCTGATTTCCAAAAGTAAGGTGTCCGGCTGAAAGCTGCCTTTACTACGATACAAGGACACTTGGTGCTGATTTCATATCAATAATATTCACTTGGGGAAGGCAGTGTTATGCCCAATACTGAAATAAAACATGAGCTCAGATGTCCTCCACCATATAAGAGAAAAACCCAGTGACAAGGACTACAGAGAGCAGTTCTCAGTTATCACTCTGAGGTTAAACAGAAGAGTGACAATCAGATCAAACAGGATCAAAGACCATGGGTCTGAATGTCACTTGACATTCCTGGAGTCTCTAATAACAGGCCTTGTTAAAGCTCCACGTAAGGATCAGGGGCGGGGGTCCAAGTCCAAAGCATGATAACAATTCTTCACAGTTCATCTCGTGGTCACCAACCAGTCTTACAGAGCTATTCATAACCATAAGAACCATCTTATTTAAGCATTTTAAAAATCTGCCAATTCTATGGGGGCTGGCCCAGTGGCACAGTGGTTAGGTTTGTGCACCCAGCTTTGGTGGCCCAGGGTTCGCAGGTTTGGATCCTGGGCATAGACCTACACCACTCATCAAGCCATGCTGTGGCGGCATCCCACATACAAAATAGAGGAAGACTGGCACAGATGTTAGCTCAGGGCCACTCTTCCTCAAG